GAGAACCAAGAGAATGTGGCCACCCTGAATCTGCCCCAGATTTATGATGATCCCCTTTCAGGGGCTAGCACAGACTGAGAAGAAGCATTTCCTACACACCCCAGAAGGAGCAGATCAGGGATCCACACCTCCCTGGAGCCTTGTGGGTATCCCTCCCACAAGGTGAGTTCTCAGTGAAGGCCAGTCTTCATCATTCCCTCTGTGATCTGCAAGTCACACACACACACACACACACACACCTATTGCATTCTAGCCTCACAAAAACCTCGACTCACAGACTCACAGTAGTAGAACCTACAGCTGGAAGTGTCTGTGAGAACAGGGGGACACTGAGGCCCACAGAAGCAAAGGCCCTTGTATAATCCATGGTTCTCTAAGTAACTACTTGAAATTTTTACCTGCTTTTGGATTGGAAGACTTGCACCCCCCCAAATTTTTTTTCCAAGCTGACTGACTGTCTTATCTCTCTCCCTATCGAGTTCCTCTTTTGGCAAAGGAAGGGAGGGAGGGAAAGATGAAGAAATAAAGTGAGGGAGAGATGGGGAAAAAGGAGGAAAGGAATAAAATGAAGGAGGAAGGGAGAGAGGGGGAAAAAAAACAAAGTCATTGAAGAAAGTTGATATGATTCAGTAAACTGCCTTTCGTCTTGCAAAATATTACAGAGGGAGGCCGTGTTATGTTAACCTAGAGAAAATCCAAGCGGTAGGAGCCTGGGACCCTGGCAGGTCTCCTTCCACATCCATCCTGAAGTCAGCCTTCCCTTCCATCCCCACCCCCATCTCCTCCCACTATCCCCCTCCACCCTCAGCCTACCTTCACTGAAGACAAAATCAGAGACGATATCAAAGGGCTGGATGTGGACTGCGGACAGGATCATGGTGACCGTCTTCTGTGGATCGCTGGAGGCTAGTGAAATGCTCTGCTGAGCTTGACACTCATAAGACTTTCCGGCTGGGGTGACCAAGGCAGAGAGGCGATGCGAGTTGGCAGTGTGCTTCCCCGCTGCAGGGAAGGCCCAAAGCAATGGTTAAGCCTGTCTCTATGGTAGATGGCAGAGCCCTCATGGCTCCTAACCTCCCTTGCAGGAGAGTTGGCTCTTGCCTCTCAACTCCAGACCCTCCTCTGATCTTCCGTATGGCCAGGCAGTGCACTGCTTTGCCAAGGCTGAGGCTCTGCCTAAGGCATCAAACAGTGTCTAAGGACAAATGCACCAATTCCTTCATAAGCAGGGGCTCAAAACATTCATGTGGAATTTTTGGAATTTCTTTTTTGGAAGAGGAGCATGATGCCTGAAACCCAACGCTTTTTACTCTATAAAACCTAACCAATGGAGATTCCAAAGACACAGACAGAACAGTGACTTGTTTTTCCGCATTTCACACTGGCTGACAAAGAATAAAACATCTTCTTCAACAAAGCATGGCTGATTTCTGGTGCCTTGGGCAGACTCCTTTGCATATGTCTATATATACACCCTCTGAAGGCTTGCCTCTTTTTTCTCCTTTTCTGGCAAATGTTTGTTTGTTTTTTTCCCCCTTTTTCCTTTTATTTTGGGAGGGGTCTAATTTAACTAGGAAAATGCTTGAATATGAAGTTTGATGAAGAGAAGAAAATGCTCTTTGTACTGTAATGATAAAAAAGGGTGAAAAGGGAGAGATGCCATATGTATTCATGTGCTCAGTAAAAACCTTTCCCCAACTCAGGTGCTCAGGTGATCAAAGGCCATATTATGAGTAGATTAGACCATTTACAAAATTAATTGGTTAATTAATTAACTGAAATGTGGTCTTTGAGAGCACCTGCACATGTAAACGTTGTTATTTGGGGAGTGGATGCTCCTCTGACCATGATATGTTTGGAGAATCTGGGTGAATTGTTGGAGTGATGGGCAGGAAAAGCTAATAAATTAGACCACGGTTCAGAATGTCCTCTGGGGTGCCTGCAGTAGATGACTGAAGATGGCATGGGGGACATGCTGCCATGCACAAAAAGATACTGAAGGCCATCAAATATTGACCCAAAAGGAAAGTCATCTTGCATCCTTCAAAGTTCCAGCACATGAGATGAAAAACCGAGGTGCAGAAAAATAAAAATACAGTTTTGCCCTTCTCTGCGCTCCTCTAAAGTACAAATCATAAGAGGTCGCCCTGAAGCAGCAAGTGGAAGACAGGCCTTCAAGAGACGACTCATCCAGAGTCAGGCCACGGGTGACCCATTGGTCCTTGGCCTGTGGTTTCTTGTGCATCTACAAGGCCTGAAGCCCACCAGGCCCCACCGGTGCTTCCGTTTCCACTGTCTTGGAGAGCAAGCCAGGCCAAATTTGGTCCGGGAGCAAAAAGTCAGGATCGGTTTCCATAAAATTTCCGAATTTCCTGAGGAATCGGGCTTCCACACCTATGCTCTCTGCAGTGTCCGAGCCTTTCTCAGGCTCCCTCCCCAGCCCTGCTGGCCTCTACTCACCGCTGACTGCGTCTTTAAAATGGGTCTTCTCCGAGGAGTCGTAGACAAACTGGACTTTGCTCAGCCTCCACGTCGCCTCGGGTCCCTTGGACGTGTTGTGACTTTCCTACCGAGCAGGGGAGGCGCGCGTCAACCGCCCTTGCGGCTTCCGGATCGAGAAACCGAGGGGTGGCCCCTGCCCACACCTGCCCGGGAGTCTGCACCCCTTTGCGCGGTGGGCTCGGTGTTACCTTTACAAATAGCATCTTGAGTGTGTACGCGCGATCCACCCAGAACACCTGCAGCTCCGACTCGTTGTGGCCACAGCGGCCCATCACCTCAGCTCCCCGGGTCAGTGAAATATCGGCCTGTTCCGTGATCAGCTGGGAACACAGACGCCCCGCACCCCCTCAGCGCGCCTGCCCCCAGTGGGGGCTGTAAAGGGCGGGGAGTCCAAACTCCGGGTTGCACGCCTGGGCACTCCTTTGCGCGCGCGCTCCCAGGTCCGGGAACATGCGGTTAGATGCTCTACGTGCAGACCCCGCCGTTAGGGATGCAGAGAGAAGGAGTTACTTTCAAAGCAGGCAGGGCGAGCAGAAGGCGTTACAAGCCGGAACCCCCATGCAGCATACGGGAGCAGCTTGCGGGGGCACAGGGGGAAAAGGCGGGCCACCCAGGTCTTCATTGGGTCTTGAGGGAGGGTGCCCTTCGCCCCTTGAGCCCTAGGAGCAAGCTGGGAGGGAAAAGGTTCCTTACATCGACGTAATTGCTGGCCCACACATCATAAGGGACAATAAATTTGGCTGCAAACTCTGCCATGAGACATGTCGTCCCATTTTCCCGCACCACAAATATATCTTTTTCAGGGTTAGTGGAAAGGCCTGAGAGATTTTCCACTTCTTGTTCTGCCATGATTCGAGCCACTGAATCTGCGGGGGGAGGAAAAATATCCTATCGGTTCCGGGCTCAGTAAGCCCACGCGTCTCTGGCACAAGGGTGGAGAGATCGTGGTCTACAGGCTTGAGGTGACAAAGTTCCCTGCCGGCTGCTATGCGGTCTGCGAGCCCTTTCTCTAACCTAGCGCCAACAATTCAACTCCGTTGCTATTAATTTTTAATAAAAATAATTTTGTTTAAATTTAAGCCTCACTAATTTGTAACCCGACTGGCCTTTTTCTTTATCACAGGATTTTAAACCGAATCTCTCTTGCCAATGCTCTGATCCCACGAAGCAGGGCCGTACAGCACTGTGTCTGGGATATGGCATACAGGTGTGTGGCTCTCTGGGGAATTCCCCGCCACTAGTGGGAAGGCCTTCCGCCCCCTCCCTCACCCCCTAAAAAAAAACAAAACAACAAAAACCGCAAAACGTGAAGGGCCACATTGTGACCTTAAGCTACTGACTTTACTATGCCGGTTCTATTCTCTGCAAAGAGTGCACCCTGCTCTCCCAGTCGCCGAAACGCTACTTACGGAACAGCATCAGGAGAATTCGAAGTCTATCGAAGCTGAGAACGGCTCTGCCTCGGAGATCCATGCTTGTCTAGCAGCGAATGAGGCCAGATGTGCTGCTGCAGAGGCTGCCCGAAGAGGGAATCCCTCAAAGTCGCCGCTGGAGTGAGCCGGGGTAAGCGAGGGGCGGGGGAGCCGAGAGGGAGGAGGGAGGGAGCGCGTGTTCTCTGCGCGCTGGCGAGGGCTTGGTGTCGGATGCTGCACCGACCGATGCAGGCTGAACACGAGTCAGCTCACTGCGGAGGAATGGACCGCGCGGCGAGGGAGCTGTCCACGGCTGCGAGTGCTGAAAGGAATCGGTTGTGTTGCAGGAGTGATGGTGGCTTGGCTTGTGCAGAGGGCCAATGAGATTTTGGGGGGCTAAAATTCTCCCTGAGTCTGTTTCCTGTTCAGCAATTGCATCCGCAAAGATGATTCAGTCCTGAGAAACTTAATGGACTTATTCGATATCCCTGAGAACAATTATTAGGTGGTGTAGATATCACATATCACATACCTGGGGTCCTAGCTTCTGAAAATGCATCTGGATCCTGAAAGAAGACGGTAGAGCACAAATTGTTGCTGCTTTTGGGGTGGAAGAGTAGGCAGGAATAGGGAAGGAAAATGCTATGGCAACAGTTTCCTGCATTTAGAGACATCTTCTCTCCTCTGCTCTCAATGAGCTCATGGGTTTAAAGTTAAATTGACGCCTCCTCAAATGAGGCCCTCAGTCAATGCAGTATATTATTTTCTATGAGTTCTGCTCTCTGGTTGCATGAGGACTCTGAACTCTGGGGTCACCTACCTACCTACCCTCAGTCATTATATTGTGACTGCTCTGCCAAAAGGAATGTGAGAAAAACTGAAGTTTGTGAGGGTTATCTAGGGTCTCTTAGGACAGTAATGTTACATAGTTATGTAAACACACACACTCATATTACTCTTCAGCCACTAGTGGAACAGAAAAACAAATACTACTGAGCTAATTCCTATATTTGCATTGTTGGTAGTTCTTTCTCTTTCTTTTTCTTTTTTGCTCCATAAATCAGAATCAGAATACAGCTATTTCAGCAGCAGACATGCTTTCCTCATCAATTGTAGTGATGTCCAAATATGTCATTTCTTAGAGGATTTCATTATGTGAACAATCAGTAACATAAAGTCATAAAACAATATCATATTAAGGAGTAAATTACAAAGTATTTTCATGTTGTGAAATTTGATTCTCTCTACTACCTTAGAAGGCAGGCAAGGGAAGATACACCTTATTGTAGTTGTATATACCCCAAAACTGAGGTTCAAAAATTAAATGACCTTCCCAAGTGTCATATGGTCAGGTAGAATTAAAACAGAAAAACCACATGCTTTAACTTTGTAGGGACCATCTTCATTTTTTCTTATATAATACTTTGATTCCCAAATATACCATATTTTGATTTTCATAAAGATCTTTATTTAGTGACCAAATAACAAGCTAAAACCTAACATTTCTATCACTAACTAACATTCCTGAAATGTATAGAATGCTGTTTTAAGTATAATAATATTTTAATATAATATTTTCTCCAAAGTATCTATATAACTATTATTTCAAACATATTCTTGTATCGGTAATTAGATCAATGCTTTCATCTTTATTTTTATCTCTGTATTTTGATAGTTCATCCAAACATTTCTCATGAACTTTAGATAAATGATTATATATAGAAGAATTGAGGCAAAATTGTGACTGATATAAAGTCAATTATTATCAGTTGAGAGTGGAAGTTGTAAAATTTGTATGCCTTACAATTTGTCATGTTAGCTATTGTTATTAAACACTTATTTTCCTGTAGTACTGTAAAGACTGGAAACAAAGATACACATGTAATGAAGCATTTATATTCTCCCTCTCTACCTCCAGCACTTTAATGAGGAAAGAGATGACTAGATTTCAGTCCAGGATTGACTAGTTATTATTTTTTGTGACCTTGAACAGATTTTGGTGTTCCTCATCTAAAAAAATTGGGGTAATATCTCAGGGAGTGGCTGGATAGGCCAAATGAGCCAATGAATATGAAGCACTCAAAACAAAAGACAAATTAATTTAGTCCATAAACATTAACAGAATACTTACTACTTGCATGCTGTTTGGTGTTTTGGAAAGACAAACAAGTACCATTCTACAAGTAAGACAGGTATCTGTAAAAGATTATGACAGTTTCTCTTGTGATATATATTGAAGCTATCCTCACTTTGTAACTTGTTAAAAAGGTCAACTGAATCAGCTGATGATTATCTGCTTTAATAATAAAATATTAGATGAGAAGTGGCATTGGTTATTAATCTTATATTTTTGTAGTTGATTTATAAACCAGATGGTGGTTCCTTTGAAAATGGTTTCCTTCATACCTGACATAAATGATCTTTGCTGACACAAAAGAATATTTGAAAGAGTTAAAAGAAAAAAAGGAAGAAATGTTAACCCTTTCTTCCTGGGAGGATCATCTTCAAAACATAATAAATCTAATGCCCTTCTAGGTATTTAATCTTAAACATAGCTTACAAATACCCATTAGCCTCTTCGTTTTATCCCCAGTGATTCTTATGTTGCAATAGGAGTAGGATCATTATCCCTACAATTTTCACCTACACCAATTAAACAAGGTTTTCATCATCCTTTTAAAAACCTCAGTTATTTAAAATTACTTAGGAGGTGATAAAGGAGCAAAACTCACCATTAAATCATATCTTAAAATGCTAATAAAGTTTCCCAGAACTTGCTCCATTCTTATTTCTAAAACAGGAGAGAGGGTACGAGAAACTGACATAAAGAGTTACAGTCACATGGCTGATGGCTGTGTCAGTTTTCATCCTTGTTGCTGGTGGTCAATACACAATGTCAGGAGTAAGTGTGATCAGACATGTTGGCTTTGGAATCTCCTCTAGATCCTCTACATTCTTCAAAGGATTCTCTTCAATTTATGTGCTTACTTAATGAATTAGCCTTTATGAATCTCATGCCATTCATTGGGTGATTGCCCTTTTATACAAGTGAAAGAAAAGGCCCTTGCATATATAGAACTTCTAGTTTGAATGGAAGAAAATAAGAAGATACATGAAGGTGTATCATAGACACATGTGTATGTATAGCTATTTAGGGAAAGAAGATGTAAGGCACCCCAGGGTAGGCCGGAATGGACCAAAGAAGGCCTCTTCAAAAAGGCGGGTTTTGAAAGAAGCGGACAAATTGAACTGGCATGAAAGACAAGGAAGGACAATGCAGATGGAACAAATACATATTGAATAGTAGAGTCAGTGCAAACATGTAACTGTTTATCCTTCCATGTTTATTAACTTGCAATAAAGAAGAAATTAGACCCCAAAGCCCACAATGCTTTATAGACTACATTTAACTTATTTATTTAATAATTTACCAACATATGGCTTTGCAAAAGAAAGGCATATGCAAAATTATCCTAAATAAAATGAAATATTTAAATTGTTAGGTGCATCTCTTTATACTGGATTGTACAAGCAATTGACTTGTATTTTTAGAAACAAGAAACAAATTTCCCAAAATCAGGGGGAAAATGTTAATTAGAAAATATATTCACAAGCTTCAAAAGGGGAAAGCTATGCTTTGTTGCAGCTGAAATTTGGCTTGTTGATGCTTCAGTACAGCTTACAGTGAAACGTAAAAATGTATTCTGGCTCTGTTGCCCCACCACCACCACCAATGAGAGAGAGAGAGACAGAGAGAGAGAGAGAGAGAGAGAGAGAGAGAGAGAGAGAGAGAGAGAGAGAGAGAGAGGGAGGGAGGGAGAGGGAGATAGGGAGAGAGAATATGGGAGGACACATGGGTAACAGAAGCAGGGATAATTTAACTATACTGGACAAGATGTACACAGCTGTTATGTGAAAATTACTACTTAACAAAACCTTTTCTTCTGTTCAACTTATCACTGAACAATTATTTGATTTAATTCAATCACTGCCTTTGAATACCTTTGAAACCCTTTCTAGGATAGAAACCCTTTGGGGATAGGAACTGACAAATATTTTTTTTTTACATAACTTGACAAACCCTGTGATATTTGGAAAGCATCAGAAAGCTGATTGCAAGGTACTAAAATATTTGGAAAGAGTCAGAAAATTGAGTTTGGGCCTCCAATGCACTCAGGGCAAAAGTCCTTGATGAAATTTTCCTCATTATTTCATTTTACTAGTCTCTCCAGCATCTAGAGAACAAAACAAGAGCCGTTTTTGGTAATGATGGTAACCAATAGAGGAGACAAGGCCTCAGAATAATAGCCTTTTCATTGGCAAAGTGTGTTTACACTAAATTCTAAGAAAATGTCCTTTTATGAGTTCATTAGAATAAATGCCTTCATAAGCTTGAATTTAGGGAACAAAGTCCATATGACAAACCCTGAATAAGCAGATGGTGAGGCCAGGTAATCATTCCTGAAAAGTTCAATAGCGAAGGATTTTTTTTCATTTTTTGACCTAGGAATTTATAATTAGTTAACTATTCTGATCAGTTTTAAGTTAGCTACCACTAGATTCAATGTGTAAATTTTTAGGCCATGGAGTACAATCCTTTCTGGTTTACTAGCAGTGAGGAAAATCTCAGCTTGGGGGCAGGGGACTTTTCTTTAAAAGGCAACAGTCAATTTAGAATTTAAAAAAAATCCTTTAAGAAGCATTTTCTCCAATAAATAACAACTACCTCAATGGGCCTCAGGTTAGAGAGTCTGTGGCTCATTTAAAATAATTTGCTACCTGAATTCTGAGATAATAAAGTTCCTCGAAATTTCTTTTATGATGTGTCACAAGGATCCCTTGTCTCCAGTTAACTATTCTTTTAATTGCCTGTTTGAAGTTATCTGCATATTCACTTGCAGATGTGTTGGAACTAAGGGAAATTGATATTAATTACCATGATGGGGAGGATGAGAGTGGGATGGCCAGTCTGTTTTGCTTCAAAAGAAACTTTGCTGGTTCAGACCTGGAGTCCTGGGTTGTAAGGTTGGGATGTTTCTATGAATGTTTTTGTGACAACATTTCAAGACGCTCCAGTAACCAAGACGAGGACACGGGAAAAAGTCTTCAGTGTATTTGAAAGGCGACTCGAATGGAAATCTACGAAGCATCGTTAGTTAGGACTTTATTACTCCACTAGCGACAGCTTCTGGGAGGAGTGGCTTCACCTCCCTTGTCTTCAACATGCCCTTCCTAACGGATCCCTCCAGGACTAAATGCCCCGCTTCTATGCATGACCTTAGTTGGGAAGTGTTTTGAGCAATTCCTTTCGAAAAAAATGAATGCTGGAAATTCCATTATTAAAGCGTAATATCTCAACATGCAAGAAGTACGCGCTAGTCAGGACACATGGGCTGCGGCCGCGGCATTACCTTTGGGTGGCACCGAGGCGGGAGGTGGTTGCTCAGGGCTTGGAGCTTCACAGGGCGCTTGGGCTTCGGATGCCAAACCTGAAAGTTTCTGCGGGCGAAAAAGAGGTGCGCGCTGCTGCCGGGCGCCTAGTTGCTAGCACCTCGAGCTTGCCACGACCTCAGCCTGGGAAAGCCGTTGGCGCCTGGCATCTAGGGTGGACTCCTGGCATATTCACGCAGCTGTTCCCGGTGTAGAGGTAGGAGAGAAAACCCCTGCCCAGGTGCAAAGGTGAGGTCCATACCAGCTCCAAAGCCAGGAAAGGCGGGATCAATTCCGAGGGTGCTGGAGTTGAGCAAGTTCGGGCCACGGTGACAGGGGTTTTGAGGGTTAGAAAATGGAGGAAGAAAATCCCTGGCAGAGAGCGCGCACCTAGCTCCCTGCGACCTTCTTTGGAACTCCTCCACCTACAAATCTCGGCAAACTCTGCGCTGGGGCAGCGAGAGTGGGTGGTGGGTGAGACCCGGCGCTCTCCGGACCTCGGGCCTTTTAAGTCCCTCCTGCACCCTGAGAAAAGTCCGGAGACTTCGGGGGTTGGGTGGGTGTAGGGTGTTAAAATGGGGAGAGGGAAGAGACCCGGTTACGAAGGCGTCGCTTCTCTCCTTTTCTCTTTCTTCTCTTTCTAAACCTTCGGGGCTGTATCCACACCGGAGGGAAATGCCCCCGAAGTGTCCCGGAGGCCCCGTTTCCAGGACAGAAATCAGGAGGATGCTGCGCTCCAGGCCCAAGCCTTGGACAACCCGGGGAACCCGCGCAAGATTTTCCAGACGGGGAACAGATTTACTGAGAGGAGATCCGGGTTGAGTCGGCTGGAGGTTCACAGGCGCGCAGACAACCCCGCGGCGTGCAGCTGGGAGCACGCGGCCGCTGCGGGCGGGGCTGGCGGGCGCTCGGGAGTGGACCGGTTAGGGCCGGGGAACCCGAGGTGAGGGGCTGAACTGACTCACCAGGGTCGATCTGCTAAGCTCCCTGGTCGCTAAGTGAAGATCCTGACCAAGAGGAGAAGTAGGACTGAGACTCCTCCCTCCTCCCATCCTGTACCCCGGCAGAGCGCCCCGGGCTGCGGGAAGCTCAGGCCTGAAAGTCTTGTCTTTGTCTTTCTTTTTTTTTTGTTTTTGTCTTTCTTTTTTTTAAATTCTGAGGATGGCCGATGGTTATGGTGGTGGGAGCTGAAGGCATCCTCTACCTTAGGTCGCAACTAGAAGAAAACCCCTGTTTTCTACTTTAATGGGGTCTCCAGATACAAACCAGGGGCCTGCCTCTCAGCAGCAAGTCTCGGTCGGAAGAGGCTGACCCCAGCTCCGGGCTGCACGCCGACGCCTCTTTCGTGGAGCCCGCCTGGGTGCGGGCTCAAGGCTGCTGGCGGATGGCCTGTCCCGCCTCTCTGCTCTTCTCCCGAGGCTGGGGAAAGATAAGAACTCTGGGAGGCCCCACACTTGAAAACCTCGTGGAGACCCTCCCAATATTCTCTTCAAAATGAAAATAACACTAACTTTCAAAATAAGAGAATGAAAACACGACATTCAGATCTTTCTCCTTGGCGACTCCATGGATATTTTTAATTCAAAGGCAAATTTGTGGGCGTCCCAGCCTTGCCCCTGCCTGAGGTCCCCCAGGGTCCCTCCGCCCCAGGTCTGTCTGCCAGAGGCGTCAGTCGTCCAGCACCGCCGCTGGCACCCGCGCGTGCAGCCTCGGTGCCCAAATCTATTTATTCCCCAGGATGTTCTTTGTGTTTCTAATTCTCCTGGGGGCCGTTCTTTTTTCTTTCAGTTGTCAGCGAAACAGCCGGATCTATAGAGGTTGTAGCCACCGCCTCGTCCACAGCCTCTGGAGTCACACAACCTATGCCAAACGGACCTTGGCGCCCAAGTCACCAAAACCACCGCAAGCAACGGAGGTCGGGAGCCTCGGTGGCTGCTGCTGCGCCGTATTCCCGGGTGACTTTGTGGAGGCGCACAGATGGGGGATGCCTCTAGCTGGCACTCAGGGCCAGCTGATAAATCGTCTCATTTCCCGACTTGATGGGCCGTGACCTGGGCTGGCCGAGCTGGCGGGAAGGCGGGGGAGGGGGACGCATTGGCCAGGTGGGAGTCTCTGGGTGCTGGATTTTGGTTGAGCAAGGGTTCGGTGTACATATCTCAGGGAAAGACCACGAATGCCCACACCTCCACAAGCGGAAATCCCTTCCCCGGTTTTCTGTTACGGCCACCAAGCCACGTCCTGGTCCCCGAGGACTGCGGGGCTTTGAGTGCGGCAGCAGCGCACACGGGCTCCAGGCGCCGCACCACCTCCTCTCCCTGGGGCCCCAGCGCTCGCCCGCGCAGTGCTGCCCACACCTACCCCGGAAAGGCTACGGAGGACATGACTCGGCCTACTGTGCCTGGAAAGGTCCCTAGGCGTTCGTGAAAGCCGCAGTGCAGAGGGGTGGGGAAACGCCTCCATTCTGGGTCCATCCAAGGTCCGTTTCTCCTAGCAGACAGGGAACGTTGGAGGGAGTCAGCGGGGCTGGAGTTGAGAGTTTTGGCAGCGGTGAGGGATGCTGAGGAAGGTTTGGTAGAAAATGCAAATTGAAATGCTTGCATCCCGCTGCCCGATCTTCCAAGCTTGGCCTAGAAAGCCGTGTGCTCCCAGGGAGGGCAAGATAGCTTGTCCCTGTCCCAGCACCATCGCCCGCAGCTCCGCAGCTCAGCAGCTCAGCAGCTCAGGTGGGAGTGGCCGGGTCGAGCAATCCAGAGAGAACCCGAGGTTGAATTTAGGTGAGAGGAAGTCGGCTGAATTGAAGAAGGTGGGGTCACTGGGGTTCTTGCTTCTGGGTCATAACTGTGGGGTTTTTTCTTTCAGCTTCCTAGAAATTTACTTCAGGTCTCGGGAACTCGCACTCCAACTCTGCTCCAGGTGTCCATCCTTGGCTGGGCTTTGGAGGACGCAAAAGAGATCAGGTCTGTAATCTCAAGGAATCCCCAACATAAGTATGGGTACACACAGGGCAAAGTACCCCTGCCCACTCCCCAACTGCTGGAAAAGTTGCCACTCCAGGGAAGTGTCACATGGCTCAGGGAATCTAGACAATGCACAGCCCAAAGACCAAAGTGTGGTCCTTGGACCAATAGCATCACCTTCACCTGGATTCTACAGACCCTCAATCCACACCCAGCCCCACTGAATCAGAACCTGAATTTAAAAAGTATCTAGGGGACTTGTGCAGGTCTCAGTGGGAGAAGCCCTGGCCTAATCTGTAGAGCCTGAGTTTAGCTACTGCCAACTTATTCCACCTCGTGTTTCCCAGCCCCATCTTCATCATCTGCCAAATGGGAATTGTTTCTGAGGCCTTGGGGGAACCCTTAAGCACTCCTGGACCCACTTTAGACCAATGAAATTAGCTTCTCTGGTTGGTGGAGCCCAGGTAGGAGTGCAGTTTAAAGTGTCCCCAGGTGACTCTAACAGCAGCCAGGAATAACTCGTATAGAAATGCCAACTTTACAGATTAGCTGAGATATGACCTGAGCTCTATGCAAGACAATAGTACGTACCATGGTTGAGGGTTAGGGACCCAGGGCTCGGTAGTCTGATTCATTCTCGCTCCAGAAAGCATGGCCTTGAGCCAACTAGTTCACCTTGCTGCACCTGTTTCCTTACTTGTAAAATGGAGTTGATAATAATGTCTACCGCAAAGGATAGGGTGCAAATGTAGATTCGGACCTTTAGAATCCAATTCCATAAATGTTAACTTATAAGGCCAAGTCCCTCACGCTCTCATTTTAAATAAAAATGGGAGACTACTTATATACCGCATTCCACTTCCTGTCTGCCCCAAGCAGTCCTCTCCTAGGGCAAAACAGCTTGTTTTTTGCTTCAATATTCACATCTAATTTCCAACATTTTGAAAATCAATGAAAACCAATATTGTAAATTGCTTAGTAAACCCGATTCTCTGCAAAGGTTGATCTTGCTACTTCCAGTAATTCCATTCCCAGTCTATCAGTTTTAGAAGCACTAATAAGTGTGCTTCTGGCTCTGTGTCTTGCCAAGGCAGCCACTGAATACAAATACCTGGAGGGCTTGTCAAGACACAGATGGTAGGACCCCATCCAGAGATGATGATTCTGTAGGTTTGGGAAAGCGTTGAGCGGTTGCTTATTTAACAAGCCCCCCCCCGCAACCCCCCAAGGAATGCTGATGCTTCTGGTGAGAGGGAACCCCATTTTGAGAACCACAGTGCCAAGTGAATGGTCGATCAAAGCATCATAGAAATCTCAACAGCAGCACTGTCCAATAGAAATATAATGCAAATCACAATTGTAATTTTAAGTATTCTGATAGCCACATCTTATTTTTTATATTGATTGATTGAAATGTAATATATATATATAATTTAAAATGCACAACGTTGATTTGATACATTCATACATTGTAGTATAATTGCCATTGAAGTGATAGCACCTCAATCACATGACATAATTATTTATTTCTTTTTGTGGTGAGAATAATTGAGATCTAGTCTATTAGCAAGTTTGATTATTACAATACAATATTGTTGTCTATATATATTGTGCATTAGATCTCCAGGACTTATTTATGTACTAGTTGCAAGTTTGTATCCTAAACAATATCTCTCCTACTCCCCCACCCTCTGGTAACCACTATTTAATTCTCTGTTTTTACAAGTTTGGTAGCCATATTTTAATAAGTAAAAAAGAAATGCATAAAATTAATGTTAATAATGTATTTTATTTAACCTAATATATCCAAAATATTAATATTTCAACATTTAATCAACAACAAATAGTGATGCACTATTTTACATTTTGTGTTACATGTAAATGTATTTTGTATTTTTTGTATTAAATCTTTGAAATCTTGCATTTCTAATCTCGAATAGCCACATTCACGTGCTCAAGAGCTACAAATGTCTGGTGGCCTTCTGCAGTAGACACTGCAGGTCTAGAAAATTCCTTCAACTGGAAAGAAGGAAACATGGATTTTATTATTCCCTTGGAAGTTGTCCAGAGAGGCCCACACACCAGAATGTCCAAATAGTTCTGTCTTTATATGGTGTTTGTGTGTACATGGGAGGCAGGGGTACAAGGAGAGTGAAGCAGAGACAAAGGAGTAGTATTACAGTGTGTCAGTCATTTGGGAACTGTGAGACATGGGGCCATTCCACTACTAGTGTAAAGACAAGTCCGGTTCATGTTTTGAAAGAATTGTTTAGTGGACATCTCTTGGTTTTCTTCCCTCATTCCTGGCATCCACATCTACTTCCTTTAACTTCGCTGTTTCTTTGAGGGGAAACCTTATGTCCAGCTCTCTCAGCCCATGGAATTCTGGCAATGTTGAATCTGTCATTGATTCCTGACTTAGGAATCAATATCTGACCTTATGAGGGAGGATAAGATCTTTCCCAGGGCTTATAGGAAAGGTTTTTTTGTTTTTTGTTTTTTTTTTCCCTTCACTGGACTTGGTTAAGAGGATTTAAAGTCTGGAGCTGCTAAAAGGTGACAACATGAACTTCTGCCATGAGCAAACAGACTTTCTAGAAATGTGGAGAAGGCTAGAACTGAGGTGTGGGGGACAGGATCCAGTGCCACAGGATTTGATTCACTGACTCAGCTGTGCTTAAAGGCAGCTGTGAATCAGCTCATCTCCCTCCCCTATGTTTTAACAGATGAGGGGGTGGGAGGTGGATTTTATGGGTTTCTAGGCATCTCAAGCTGGATGACGGAGGCAATTTGCCATTGTTGGACAGCTTGTCTTAGTATTCAAGCCCTTTGATGCACTATTAATTATTTTTAAAATAACATTATTGGCAGGACATGGAACTTTCATGGTAGCAGTCCACTTTTGGGACCCTGTTTCTTTTTTTTTTAAGATTTTTATTGGGGAATTGGGGGGGTGGGAACAGTGCTGGGGAATTGGGGGAAGGGGAACAGACAAGTTGCTGTCGTTTTGTTTTGTTCTTCAGTCTAGTCATGGAGGACGTTGCTTCACTGGCCCAAGTTGGCACCATCATTGTGCTCTTCCCGGGCAAGGCACATCAGTCGCCAGCTTCTGGACGGCCCGCTCACTGCGGCTGCTGGCCACTCACACTGGCTGCTGGCTACACACGGTAGCCCATGGCAACCCACTGCCACAGGGGCTGCAGTCTATGCTGTCACCGGTGACTCACATCAGCCTAGCTCCAGGTTGAGCTGTTGTTCAACATCTTAGCTGTAGAGGGCAGTGTTACTGGCCCTCATATGTGGGATCCAAACCAGGGCCCTCTGGCGTCCCAAGCGAGTTCTTAACCATCGCGCCACTCGGCTGGCCCTGGGACCGTTTCTTAAGAATGTCCTGTGTATGAGCTGCAATCTATGTCCCTTGGCATCAGAGACTTGATAAAAGATCAGGATCTGAAAACTTTATGATAGATGTACTTCTCACAGCCTAATAGTTAATCTAAGCGCTGCTAAAAGGCTGTTCATTATTTCCCTCTAAGAAACTAAAATTTGAAATAGACCTTGACGGGAGTATGAATGAAAACAATATTGCTCCTACTTATATGGCTATTGTAATACATTTCACACACCTCTGACTATATAGCATTATATTGTGGTTATTTTTCTGTTTTCTCTGCTAGTTGAGAACTCCTTAAGGGCAAGGATCACATTTAATGCATCTCTGTATTAAATTTATATGTCTCCCTAACACTTATCATCAGGTCTGGAATATCATAGGTGTAAAGTAAGGTTTCCTGAATTTACACCTAATCTGTCAAGGCTTTGTTATTTCCAGGAGTCACTATTGCCCATATGGGCATGAAGTAAAAATACTTGGTAATCATAATAGTCTAAAAGTATTCATACATTGCCAATGGTTGAGGTCCATTACATGAACACACATTTATGGGTACTTATCAGACACTGTTCTAGGGTCTGTTCTAAACAGATCAACAAGACACTAGGCATTTTTCTGTCCTTAGACCTTTGCCCCCACTGGGAAGGCATGCTTTTCCCATCCCCTCCATGTCCCCATGACTCTGTCACTCACTTCCTTCGGATCTGTCTGCAAACATCACCTTCTCAGCAAGGTCTTCCTGGACATTCTGTTTCCAATGATGCCCTCTCTGCCTGTCACAGTGATACTCCCTATTTTTCTCCCTAGCTTGATTTTTCCCCTTATATAACTTTTTTAACCTTTATGTATTTCATCAAATCTAAGGTGCCACATTATTGTTAAGACACACCACTATTTTATGTATTACTAAAAAAGGGGAAAATGTTGCCAATTAAGCCATGATATACCATCGATTAATATTCATTCTGACTTCAGAGTATTGAAAGTGAAAAGGAAAACCCTTTTGTGGCTTAGAATCAACAAAATATATACTACAGAATGCATTCATGTGCATTATTTGTTGTCTGGCCTCTTTCAGTAGAACAAAGATTTCAGTCTCTTTTTTTTTTCTGCTTCTAATTCCCCAGTGCCTTGAACACTCCCTGAAACATAATAGGCACTTAAACTTTTATAGATTGTGGGAAAATAAAACCCATGTCTTCAGGAGCGAGACAAGAGGACAAGTAAACAGTTATGATGCAATATAATAAATGCTTAAATAGACTATGGCAGGACATTTTCTTTGGAAGCTAATAGGGGTGTATCTCCTTCAGCCTGGCTAGGTGTATATGCACGTGCGCACACACGCACGTGTATATGTGTGTGTGTGTGTGTGTATGTGTGTGTGTGTGTGTGTGTGTGTGTGTGTGTGTGTGTGTGTGTGTGTGAAGGACTCCCCAGGGAAGTCATAGCCAAGCTGGTCTAGAAGGGTGAGAGGCAGACAGTGTAGGGGAGGATTTTCCAAGCAGAAGGGACAGCACCAAGGCCCGGGGACCTGAAAGAGAATAAAATGTTTGGAGAATTGGAGGTTAGTCCATGTGTGACCAAAATGTGTGCTGTGTCTAAA